TTATAACGCTTGCAATGTGAAAACTGTGAAATCTTAGAAATGCAATATTCAAATTATTATCTGCGTATGTGTTGCATTCAAAACGATTTTACGTAACGTGTGCGTTTGGCACGCGCTCGAATCGCATTTTGCGGGTCGCGGGATCAAAACCCAGCAATGAACATGTTTTTCCATTCAGCCGTGGGGTCGTTATAGTGTGACTCTCAATCCCACTATTCGTGGAAAAAAGAGTAGCCCAAGAGGTGGCGGTGGGCGCTACCGACCGACTTCTTTCTCTCTCGTTGGTAGTTAAAAATTAGGGACGGCAGTAAATAGTCTTACTAGTTTTGCCATGAAAAAAACAACGTGCTTGGTACATATATAGAAAAAAGTCTCAACATTGACGTCAATTGTATATAAAACGTTAATACCAAGATGAGTTAATTGAAAACCTTTAGTTTTAGTTTAGTTTGTACAATCACCGCCTTTATTCTGGTATAGAATGTGTCAGCATTTGACAGTAGGAAATATGTTTATGAAAAGTCATGCGTGTAGAATTTAGTTTTTATCCATTTGTAAATTAATATGTGAGTAAATTACGTTCAGTGTTAATGAGAATATGTTGTGCATAAAACTGAAATAATGATCGTTCACGTGGTGGGCTTTAAACATCACAGTTAATTACAATTACTATATTTAGCTCTACTTAGTACGAATTACTGCTACAAATCAGGGTCAAAGATTAGTAAAAGTTAATGTTTTTGCGCTCTGTTATATTTGTAATATTCATATTAACAAAACAAAACAAAAGAAGAATCAGTACTCTGAAGTCACTTCACAAAATAATCATTTATAAAACCGTTAAACAAATTGCCTACCCTCCATACATAGTTAATATTATAATTTCAATAATTTACCTCTTCGAACTATTTGTAAATTTAAACGATATTATAGTAAGAGCCAAAAATGTTTCGCAAATATTTGGGGAATCGGAGAGTTTCATGGACTTTTATATATGCATTTAATTTGTGAAAAAAAAAACACAAAAAACATTATGACTACCTTTCTCTAATGAGTTTTGAACGGGGGATAGGATTTTTCAAAATCGTAAGAGCCCTAGTGTGAAAGAAAATGAGAACATGCTATGATTTGTGAACCACACTTCATCTACTATATCCAATGCGAACAAGGCTGGCTGAGATACTGACAGATGTAGTAATGGTCTAGGTTATATGGATATCATAAATTTCCATAAAAAAACGACTGTTATGATGTCAACCAAATTATACAAGTAAATTGTAAATATTATTAATTTTATTTAAGTCATTTACTAATCAGAATTGGTAATACGACATCATTTATTTACATTTATTTGTATTATTTATTTATTAATTTTCCTAACATTCACAAGGACTGGCGAACAGAAAGGATTAGGAAGATAATCCTGTAAACATTCGATCAGAAACGAATCTTTTAATATTATTGAATTTTTTCTTACAGAATGTTTGCCTTTATTGGAAAAATTTGTGTTGAATGTAGAATCTATATGATACTCTCAATCAGTTGTAAACAAATATTTATATTCTATACATAGGCTGTTTGAAAAGCCCCACTATTACCCACATTATTACACCACAAACTTACTTAATAGATCGTAAAACTGCTTGTTTATTTGTCTTCCAACTCTAAAGGTTAATAAAGTCGGGGTTGATTATGAAAGTAATACTCAAGACTACAAAATCAAAAATATAGAAAATTATTATTACATATATGTTAAACAATGACTAAAACATCATCTTTCAACTTTATTATAGCAATACTAGTTTGCGCAGTTTGACAATCATTATTTAGATATTTTCATTCCAAGTCCCAGTTAATTGTAATTTAATCTATGTATGTAGAAGTTCAACACGTTTAGGTCTAACGTGTAATCAAAAGGTGCCCGGAAGAAAAAATAAGGTATGTAAAGAGCACAGTAACTAACTTTAATTTCCCCATATGTTATGAACTTAATTGTTTTAGAAAAATAAAATACGAAAACGTATGTTTTCTTCCAGCCGGGGTTAGAAGTGGATACAATGGAATACATACAATCGCGCTATATTTTTTACTACCTGTTTATGCTAGAAGCAAAAACTACCAAAAAAGAATGGGTGTAATTATGTAAGCAAGGGAATTCAATCTCAGTGAATCGCGCAAATCCAACACTTCAGCCGAACACAAGTAGTTAATATGATGCCTTCAGAAATTTAATTGATCGCCTTAATATATACATAGTTCTTGCTATGCAGTAATATCGTACACTCGTTAATTTCGTTAAACAGTAAAAAAAAAGTAATTGATGGAGTGCATTGTGGCTTGATGTTGTAATCTTAAATTCTGGGTATCATTTTTTTTTCTTTAAGTGCGAAACAATTGAAAAAAGCAGCATTTGTTTATGATATGAACACTCCGAAACTCCTTGATAGTTTTCCTTCCAAATCTAAACCTATTTAAACATAAGAATTATATTTCAGTAATATATCATAGTCTTTCACAAGATCGTATCAGCTTATTCGTAGTTTTAGAGGCACTATTAAAAGATTTTCCAAATTACGAAATGCTAAATTGCTATTCACCAAGTATGAACGTATTTAATTCTTAAGACAAAAGATCAATAAGATATTTACATCAAACGTTAGGTAGTTCGTATTCTCACTTATATATAAGAATATACGATTTGACTTCATCAAATTGTGCTTGATATGAAGATTACGTTGTTTGCCTACCAGTATCTCTTCAGCTGTTAATAAGGTTTTGACTAATTTACTTACTCGTTACACATGAGCACTGTACCGTGTGGTAAACAAATATGCTTAGAAAAACTAAACACGCTTTCAGTAACAAGCTTAATTCTGACTAGAAAACACATTATAATTAAAAATCTTTGAAAATCATAGACATTTTATTTCTATTAATGTCTACTCTAAAACTTGTTTAGTTAAAATCAAACAGATGTCCCACACCTGTTTTTGCAACGTTTTTTTTAGAGCGGGCAGTAAATAAACAGACACAAGTGAATATCACCATGTTTATATGTGTCGAAGTAATTAATGGACGCATGTGTTCAAAACAGAACGTAGTCAAAGCATTTGATCTGTTTGTAACATAAAAGAGGTGTGTCTGGTTCTGCCGACTTTGAACACCACACACGTGCATGGAGGTTCACTGCTGTAATTACATGTTTTACTCTACCAATATATCTTAACTTACATATTGAAATATCTCGTGTTATTACCACACACATGCACGTAGATTCACTGCTGCAGTTATATGTTTTACTCTACCAATATATCTTAACCCACATATAGAAATATCTCGTGTTATTACCACACACGTGCATGTAGATTCACTGGTGCAGTTACATGTTTTACTCTACCAATATATCTTAACCCACATATTGAAATATCTCGTGTTATTTTCATTATGAGTATAATATTATCTGAAATATACAGTCTCTGTGCCTGTTTCACTACCATACATTAGCGAGAAATGTTCTAATGGCTCTTATACCCATAGCTACCAAAGAAATGCAATTATGATACATTTTACTAATATAATTTATCAGAAAAAAATTCTTACAGTCATGCTTTACAGCAGAAAAAAATATCAACCCTTTATCCCATAATCTATCAACAAAAACCTCCTGCAACTTATTACCATGAAGAATGTTTTTAATTATCCTAGCACTATGGTAACGTGTAAAAGATTTCTGATCTCATTCTATTGTCACGGCTAAGCAGCAAAATATGTTTTTATTCTTTTAACTCGTCGTACTGAGAGCCAAAAATAGTTTCTAAATATTATCGCTACATATTACAAAATCATATCTCTAATATATATTGTGGTCATGGTTTAGTGATCAAATGGTCTTTTGATACAGTTCCCCGCCATATATTACTGGTGTACAATCACTTCACAAAAATACTGAAGCAATGCATACGTGTTTTTTTGATAGTGTTTATCATCATGGTTCGGTAACAGAAGGTGTTTCCGATACATCTGTTGTCTTGGCTTAACGAAAAGATACTTTTACTAACATATATAACTGCTAAGTAAGAAAAAAATCTATTCTTTCAGTAATTACCCTCTCTCTTTACCAACAAAAATCGCCATGGAATGACAACAAAAAATATAACATTTTACTTTCTGATTGGAACAGAATGCTTATCGCAGGAAACATTAACGAGTGCCAGTTAAAGTAACTTCAAGAATATGCTATTAACATTTTCAAATAATTTAAGCGGATTGTTTAGGAAATATATTTGAAAGCACAACAATTGAAGACAACATTAGGATTAATATCCGTTTGATGTTTGATATAATAAACACCAATAATTTGTGGAGTTGAATTAAATTAGTTAGATTTTCCTGAAAATAATCCCTTTCTTTTCAAAAGAAAAAAGTAATTTACGTTCCATTTGCAAATCTCATAATCAGGCTAGAATAGAGTTTAGTAAAGTTTCTTTTTCCTAAAAGGGCTAAATATAGCCTGGTGGTAAGAGCATTCGACTCGCAATCTACGGATCGTAGGTTCGAATTCACCTCGCTGAACATGTTCGCTTTTTCAGCCGTAAAGGTTTTATGATTTTATAGTAAATCCCAGTATTCACTGGTAAAAGAGCAGCCCAAGAGTTGGCAGTGGGTGGTGTTGACTAGCTATCTTCTCTCTAGTCTAGTACTGCTAAATTAGAGACAGTTGGTGCAGATAGCCTCGTGTAGCTTTGCGCGAAATTCAAATCAAACTAAACCTTCTTAAAATAATTTAGACAATGAAACCGTATTTTATTCCTCGGTTCGTTTTGTTTTTGTTTAGTTACATATATGCATAAATGTTTACTTGGGAAATAGTTCTTTAGAATATTTTCTGCCAAGATTAATTCTAAACATACTTACATGAGCGCACTAACAACTACACATGCTAAAATTTGCTAAGAATTTTTTTTTCGTCTTCTCTATTTCTTTCTCTTTTTTTTTTTTAGTTACAGTGGTTGGCCTGGTTGGTCAGGAAGTGAACCTTCCCTGTAATATAACCGCAGATCTTCCAAACGACAAGCCAGCTTTAGTCCTGTGGTATAAGGACAAATCACCCACTCCAATTTACACTCTGGATGCCAGGATAGGTCCTCTATTGCAGGCACGACATTCTTCTAATGACAACTTGGTCACGAGAGCCTATCTGACAACAGTTAATAGGCCAGCTACATTGATGCTTAACCAGGTGAAAAAAGAAGACGAGGGTTCTTATCGTTGTAGAGTGGATTTCAACAGAGCTAGAACCCGCTACACGGATAGTATTCTAAAGGTTATTGGTCAGTGGTCAGTGCTTAAGTAACAGCTCTAACAAAAAAACTTATTTTTTGCCACATACAAAAGGATTGTATTTTCTCAAAATCATTATTATTGGAGATACAGTATGATGAATTATACACCAAAACTATTATCTAGTTTAGATTTGTATGACATTATAGTTTCATGGAAGTAGAACTCTTACAGTTAGTTCATGCTTACATATGTTTTATCAGTTTGATACCAAATTTACTAGAAAAATAGTATTAAAAACATGTGTACCGAAGCTAATTAAAGTGATAAATATTATTTAAAAGTTAAAGTTCCATAGCCGAAAGCCGGCGAAATATCGAAACACCAATGAGCCTAAACGTTGTTATAAAAACAACCAATGAGTTCTGGTACTGACAGAAAAGCATATTGGGCAGTAACTTGTGAGAGATAAAAGATAGATCTAAATTGTTATTATTTTTTTACATACCCCTGATTTCAAACGGCAATGGACAACTTGAGAGAAATGTGGGGAAAAGATTTGCAATCAGATTGTTTTATGTTAATTTTCATTGTTTTCATTTTGCTTCCACTGTCGCTTGTTGAATAATTTAAAAGAAAATCACATTTAAATTACTGTTAGCCTCTAACGTATATAATTTAGATATTGATAATCCAGTTGCATTGGAAAGAAAGTAACAGTATTTCATTTTGCTCTTTTTTTTTCTTTCATTTTTGAGGGTTGTTGTGATACACTTACAAATACCTAGATCACCTATTTTATTGTATATTTTTATTTTAATCCTTTACCTATAATGATCTCAAGAACATTTTAATATTTATCATTGGAATGAATCTTAGAAACGCTTAACTGCTAGTAAGTAAAAACTGAAATCGAATGGAAATGAAAAACCAATAGATATCAAAGCTCCTATGTACATAAGGTGTATCGCTGAAGCTGGAAGAGCCTTAGTAAATCGTTGTGGTTTAAAATGCTTAAGGTTATAAAGTTATGATATTTCGAGAGAATTAAAATTGTTACCTTTCTTGTTGATGTTTTGCACTAGCGTTAATTTTTCCAGCACTGCTGAATAAATAAATTACTTTACTTCCGATTTTCTTTTAATTTCATCTTCTGCTGTCAAGTTATTAACCTATATGTATCTATATCAACTGCATTATGTGCCATAACCTTCAATTGTAATTTGACTGAGTCTAGTTTAAAACCCTTTTCAAGACAAGTGGCAACTTTGTTGTTGTTATTTTCTAATAAGAAATAAATTAAATATTTTTCGGTGTGATGTCAAATTTTATACTGAAGTTCATATTCTTAATTTCAAAAGAAAATATTGTAAGTTTCCGAGAAGTATGAACAAAATATGATTTATGGAAATTGTGAACACTATATTAAGGGTTTAAGATAGAGGAACTTCGCTAGACAGAAATGAAGACAAAACTCTATCATTCAAAGTTGGAATCAGAATTATCAATAAGACAAGCACAAGGCCAACCAGAACAACTGTAGAGTTTCCACTTCTCGAATCACTTGCACGTGTACCCGAATGCAATAACCATTTATAAGCGTGTTGCAACTGTACCAGAAGTTTGATTTGTTTGTTCGTTGAAATTCGCGTACAACTACTCGAGGATTGTCTGTGATAGTTGTCCCTAATTTTGAAGCGATACACTAGTCAATACCACAACATTTGCCAACGGTTTGGCTACTCTTTATCAACGAGTAATTGACCGTTGCATTATAATGCCCTACAGCTAAAGGTGAGCATTTCGGTGAAGGGGTTCGATCCCGCATCCAGCAGATTACGTGCCTAATACTCTAACAACCATGTCATGCCAAGCCTACTTTCGCGAATGAACGTCGAATAGTAATAGTTTGCAGAAATGGCCTTGGTGATATTGAGCTGGTGCTTAATTGGTAAATAGTACATATACATGTTCCCTAAACTGTTAAAGGAAATTATAAAATAAAATATATATGTATGCACATATGCATATGTATATTAATGATTAGATGCATATGCAGGATTATGACAAATTCCCCATTTTTCCTCTCAGCACTTCCTCATCCGAAATTAGTTTTAAATTCAAAATTTCGACCTTGTCACTTACATGTAAGCATCTCCTTCAGCTGGGAGGTATGGTTAATGAACCATAAGTGTTTATATGACGTCACCACTCACTAATTAAAACGGCATAAGCACATTTATCCCCACAAATAGGAACAGTAAACTTACTTAATCTTACTTTCTTACCTCCACTTCTGAGGCAAAAATCTGAAAATTATAATCAAAATCCTTTTCAGGAGAACACGGCATATTTTATCATAATCAAAATTAAGTTAAAATTATAATATTAAAAGACCATTGAAGCTATAAATGAAAATAATATAATAGTTTTAGATCATTCACAGCTCTTTACGAAATATGCTTTACTACTATAACATTAACCTTAAACATCTTAAATCGGGAACGATAATTACAAACTCAAAATCGATAAAATAAAGCAATGAAATTAATACTTGTTATCATATTAATGCAGAGTTAAAGAAAGAAAAACTTGAAAACACAGCATTAAAATTGAACACAAACAGTATATCGTAAATATGTAGCAGACTAACTCGACTATCTACATTATCGACACTGAATCTAGTCACAAACATATAATGATACACCTAACACTTTACTTCTAGCGATTAATATTGTTTGTTGTAGAACAAAGTCACCTTAGGTTATCCGCTGTGCCCACCGCGGAGAACCAAACCCCAGATTTTAGCGTTGTAAGTCCATAAACTAAATACTGTCCCAACGACTAGCCTGAGATAATCTGATAACAGAAAGCTGAGAACAGGCAAGCTAATCGTTTGTTTGCTTATTCTGAATTTCGTGCAAAGTTGCACCAGGGCTATCTGCGTTAGCCGTCCCTAATTTAGTGAAAGACTAGAGGGAAGGGAGTTAGTCATGCAGCTAGCAGCCAACTCTTGGGCTACTGTTTTATCAACGAATAGTGGGATTGACCGTCACATTATAACGCCCTCACGGCTGAAAGTGCGAGCATGTTAGGTGGGTCGGGGATTCGAACTCGCCACCCTCAAATTTCAGGCGCTCTACCCACCTGGCCATGCCTGGCCGGCAAGCTATTAGAAACACCTAACAAATAATATGAATAGCTAATCTAAGCTATCCTAACACATATGATAAACAAATGTTACAAATAATGCAAATAAGAAACATTAAATGAAATAATGATAAGCAACAATAAAATATCCAGGCCCGGCATGGCCAGGTGGTTAGGACGCTCGACTCGCAATCTG